ATATTAAGGACATTTACACAGGATTTGATAAATGAAATTATTTTGGAGTAATCCACAACCATTATTGCATTCTCTATACGATTATACTTATGCAACTGCACGTTCACTATACATATTAGTAGGCCTACCTTAGGTTAGTGATAGACATTTGCTCTCTTCTACGACGAATATTATCAAATTATTCTTAACACTATTATGCAACATTGTTCAATCTATACTTCAACATACTCAAATAATGATCATTTTTCAAAATTCTTCTAAAGGGTGCTCACACTACTTAGACTGTCATGTGCCACATCGTGGAACAAGGACTACAGCCGAGAAGCGACGATGGCCCGTACCAAACGGGAGGTTCGCCAAAATGACGGAAGACCGGAGCGAAGCTCGTAGCGAAGTTGACGGCGAAACCATTTCAAAACTGGCGCCGTTTTCGAGGTGGCTGGCAGCCATTAGGTTGCCCCGTGACATTCGAGGGAGAGGATGATGGTTCCATCGAGTAGGTAGTGCCTAGACGGGGCTCCACCCAGCACTTAGTTCACGTCGTGACTGTGGCCCAGGGCACAGCCGTTTCCAGGGTACAGTCACGCCCCTGCTGTGCCGACACTGTACTCCGATTCGCTGGCCCATATCTCATCTGGTCCATCGCATTAGCCTAATCTGCCAACTACGAGAGAATAGAGAAACGAACGAGAGAGAGAGAGAGTGTGTGTGTGAGAGAGAGTGAGTGAGAAAGCTGGAGAAGGAGAGAACAAGAGAGAGAGAGAGAGAGAGAGAGAGAAACAGAAAGAGAGTAGAAAAAAAGGAACGGAAAAACAAAAACGCGGCCATCGATGCATGCCCCCGCCGCCACGGGAGATCGCGTGGTGAGGTGCTGCCACCTTTGCGACCGAACCGTGAATGCGACCGATCGATTTTTTTACAACGCTTTAACGAAACGTTTTCCGTGCCTTCGGTTTGATCCCTTATCTCTCGAGGATGTCCCTCGATTCGCGACACTCCCCTCGATAGAACACTGCCTTTTTTTTGGCGATTCGAAGACACGAGATCGGACGATTTTTCGCCGATCGAAACGGCACCTTGGAACCGCGGTACTGAGAGCAACGCGCACGATCGACATGTTGGACCTGCTAAGGTAAGATTGTTTCCTCCTGATAATTGCCAGATAATTTTGGATAATGTAAATTTTTATTTATATCTTGAGTAGCATAATTTTTAGAGCTCGTAATGTGATTTTTTTAAAAATTTAAGAAATCGTTGAGACGAGCATAATTCAATTTGGGCATTCTGAGCAAAATCTTTGATGATGATTCGAGATTAATAACATAGATCGTTTAAATGGAATACACATGTATTAGATGAAATTATTTACTATTACAAATCAACTATAAACAATGTAGATATTTTATCTTTTATTTAGAATCAGTGACTCCATTATTTTTATCAATATGGTTCATTATCTCTACTCCGAATGGTATACATTAAAAGTTTCACAACTTTCATATAAATTAGATACGATAAATCAAATCCAGAAATTTTATTATGACCAAAAAATTCCTCAGTTTTCCCATAATTCACAGTCTTTCACGACAATGAACTCTTCGCGCACATCAAAGACCCAAGTTGTTCATCGCTCGATCTTAAGATGATTTTCTTCTCTGAAACGTATTGCGTATTTCGTTGTCGTCTCAATGTTCCAAAATATTGTTTGACCGCGTTCGAGAAATTGTTCGAGCAAAAGTTTTTGTGAATTAGCTTAGAAACACGGCCATGGTGCGATCAAGCAGTCAGTTTGCATCTCACGACGGACGAGGAAGCAGCTTGGTCGTCACGCGATTGGTCTTTCCGCCCTGTTCGAGTCATTGTCGGCGAAATCGGTGAGTACTTTCTGCATGCCACGCAATTTTCATGCCTTTGTTCTCTTTGTGTCAATCGATTCGGTCCGTTTCCGACCTGGAAGCCGATTTGTGAACGTAGCGACGGGAAAGTGAGTTCCATGGGCTTACTGAATTTTATTGGATTGTTACTAGATCGCGGATATTCTTGGAAATATAATTAAAAGAAGCTGAGTCTCAGTTGAACACTATTTTCTGAATAAAATTTATAAAACTTTGGATATTTCCAAAATTTGGATTTCGAGATATGTAGATACCGATTTTTTATTTGATCTTCATATAATTTGCATTTTAAGATATAAATAGCCAAAAATCAGCTAAGTCTAATTATCACGGTGACTTGCGTACATTACAATTGGATAGAAATTGATATTTTGCATTAGTTAAAGTTAGAAAAGAAAGAGAATACAAAAGAAGTAAGACGAACCGAGATCTTGATAAGGAAATTCCATCTTTTTGATGTACCAAATGTTCTGTTCATTTTAGATCAATTCTTCTCCTTCCACAGAAAATATATTTCCATGTTTCCATTCTACGAAAATATTCTCGATCTTCAGAACAATCGAATGGTTCTGATTTTCCTAAGGTGGTACCATACTTCCAGTCAGGCGTAAGTAAAGTGTGGCTCCAGTTTTGTTCGCTTGCAACGTGTTTACAACGAAAAGTCAGTAATTGTTCTCAATAGCCCGACATAAATTCTCATTTTCTCGTTGAGCATACTCGAAACTTCTGTTCACAAAGACGCTTGGCATCGTGGTAGCCAGGTCGGCAAGAAAAAAGCCAGATGTTGGGAACGTCGTGGGTCGAATATTGCGACGGATTTTGGTGGCCATAAATTGCTCCAGTTTCGAAGGAAAGCACACCACGACACGTGTGTACTCTGGTACTGGAACAATGCCGGTTCTTCTTTGCTCCGGAAAACAGACCTGCGAACGTTTCCGCCATTCCGTTCTCGAAAGATTCGTGAAATGCGTTTCGCATAACGGCAAAACGAAAGAAAGAAGAAAACGGGAAAACGCGTCTTCATGTCAAGTCGTTCTCTATGGATCCTCGAAGTAGAGACGTATCAGAGTATGCAGTAATAAGATTTATAATCTACGTGAAGTAGAATAAGATTTATAATTTCTGTAAAGTAGAGAGGTATCAATCTGTTAACTAGGAAAGATGAGAACTCGTCATTTAGATTGGCTGTTTCTTAGATTCTTCAAAGATTTTTACTTGTTTAGAGATTCACCTGGAAATTGGATATTAATTATTATTTCAAGATTTCATTTATGAATCGCTCCATTTTCCTTGGAAATAAATCACATTACAGTTTGCAACGATTAGAACAAACAGCGTGAAATGCTGATTCGTCTTTATTTAGAAATTTATTTGGAGATTTAGCTGTGTTTCAGTTGACGATGATTAAAACATAATTGCGAAAGCTAGTTTGACTTTATTAAATTTTAGCTTCGTGACTGCAATTAACTGATTAAGAATTTAATTATTAGATACATCTCTACTTTGTGCATTCGATATATATTTTAAAAGGAATGCTCTGTATCAGAAGTTTTTCTCAGAATTTTATGTTCAGCTTGCACTATCTTTAATATAATCATATTTAAATTATTGTTATTACGAAGAAAATTAAGTGGATTCACGGTTAGAAATCGATAGTTAGCGCACGCGATTTCATTTCGAGCCGGGGAATACGTGAAGCGAGAAACGGCATTTGGCGGCGCGAAATTTTCAGATCGGCCGGCTCGATCTCGTGCAGATTGAATATCTACAGGTAAATTGAAGCTACGATGGATGATAGGGTGCGAGAAGCTTAAGCGTTCGTTTAAATTAATTCGCCTGGTTGTTAGAGCCTAAAGCGCGGCGTTAGTTATTAGGCTAGTGTTAATTATTAGATGAAATGAAGCAAACTGTGTATTGTGTGAATATGTGGCTCGCACTGTTCGTTATGGTATGTTCCGGCCATCTCGAATAAATATCTCATTCCATCAAGTATGCATGTAATTTGTTACGCGAAACGATACGCGTGACTTGTACGCGACGCATAAATTTCAACGCAGGTGCACGGCTTTTTCTTTTTTTTTCTTTTACCATATAGTGACTTATTACGCGTATCACATTTTTGCTTATTTCTCTCGGTATCGCATCGAACTATCGTCGAGTTGTCTCACTGATAATTTAATATTTGATGCATATTTATATTTTAAGGAAATCTGGTTTAAATTTCGATTTTTATAATATAATTTATTGCATAAATCACGGGAGAAATTAATTTCCACGAGGACGTTCATACGTTGTAGAAATGAAATTGTAATACAATCGTGAAACGCTCTTAGCTTTTAGTATCCAGCTAAATGACACTACTTATTTAACTATTTTATTTGTTAAAAGCTGTTACACTTTTTACACGTAGGAATTTCGATTTTTGTACTAATTTATTGTACACGCCAGGAGAGAAATTAATGTCTGGAGGACGTCTTTATCAAATCACCGAAACGTTATAGAAATGAAAATATAATACAATTACGATACATCTTTGGTTTTTTTTTTTCAGTAGACGTTGCCGGTGCTTATTAACCATCTTATTTATTAACTCGCTGCATCATTACCCATTGACCTTTAGATCTCGAACGATTACAAGAACCGTTCATATTCCGCGAAATTACATATTACACGCTGTCGTGTCTAACGTATAATTTGCCATTACTATTAATTACAACTTGCAATTCGAGATCTATCTAGTTGTATCAGGATCACTATAATAAGCCAAATCTAGCCCCGTCGATCGCAATCTCACCGTTTTCCGCATCGGAACACTCGAAATTGCCCGCGCGATGTTTCAATCATACTATCATTAAAAACTATAGAATATACGTTTAATGAATAAGTTGGATAAAACTTGGTTATCAATCTTCTATGCTATTTCTATTTTCCATTTCTGTAACATTATATTCCAAATGATGATTAGTTCTATCAAACACAGATATTTACTCTTGAATTCACCTTCTTCACAGTATTATACATTTATTTTGCATGTAATCGTTTTGACCACAAGGGCAGATTGTTGTGAAAGATTCTTTCTCTCTTCGTTTTCTCCCCCTTCTCGAAATTATAATAATAGTTTCCTTTGAAAATTTCTCTGCAAGAGTTATTGAACAAAATTACTTCTAATTGGAAACTCAGAAGAAGACTTCATGACTGTCACTTCATGTCGTGTTTGCAAAGACAAATTTCCTATAAATCTACCATAATTCGAAGACCTTCTTTTAAGATTCGATTTATTGAGACTTACCGTGTCTCTTAAAACGTATACTTCACGATTGTTTCGTTGCAACGTTGATTTCATTCATCCGTTCATGCCGATCGGCGGCTCGCGGAGCACTTTTATTTGCCTTTTGATTCGGCTTATCGTGCATCTGTGGATTCTTCGAGCCAAGTGCGATGGAACAAGCAACGCGGAGACGCCCATGAGACATTGAGTCGTCTGGCTGACAAATGGCAGCCGTTTACGTTCCACGACCGAATATTTTCGATGTTTCTTCTTTGTCGACCGGGTCGTTCCTTTTATTTCAACTGAATCCGCGAACAATGCTCTCGGCTTTATTATGTTTGGGGAATCG